TATTCTGTTTTGTCAGCCAGAGATCTTAGGTATCTTACTTCCATATCTTAGTAGTCTGAAGGCATTCTACACCTATTACATTATTTTTGTTCTTAAGAGAGATCTGAGATAAGAAAAGAATCTCTATGCTAGCTTCTCAGGCCTTTATTTAGTTAGTTTTTAATTACTACTTCAGCTTAATCAAGAGGGGGAAATTATTCTCATATATAGCAGGTCTATTTCTTTTTGAAGAAAGCTAGATCCCTGGTCACCAACATCTTCCTCTTTGGATAGAAACTAATTTTGTTAGCCCTCATCTAATCCGTTACATTTGCCAGACACCATTCAAAGCACATTGCTGCTACTAGAGCAAATGAAAGAGAAAATGTATCTTAAGTGCCCATCTGCTCACTGTCACTAAGAGCCAGAAGAAGACTTGTAGTTCTCATGAAGAACATGGCATCAAGAAGAAGGTAACGGACCCCATTCATAGGTCGGAGAAGAAGCATTTAGTGCTAAAGTTTTATTCCTTCACCATTATTTTTCTTTTTTGTATCATGCCTGTTTGTCAGCTTCTTAGAATAAAAAAAAAGGTTGGTGTTAAATAACACCATAAGGATTAGGAGCATAAGTAAGTGCCGGTCAAGGGATTAAAAGACATTTCAAATGTGATATTTTGACAATTGTTATTCTGCTGCAAATTCTAGTACTGTTTAGCTTGTCAAACACATAGACTAGACAGATTATTTATATTCTGTTGTCATATTTGCACAGTGTCTTACTGCTCATTTCTGGAAGAAGAAAGTTTCTGTAAAAGTTGTCACATATTGTGTGGTGACCACTCCCCTGCCACTCATTTCTAAATGTGCTCATGTAAGCTAAATGAAAAGTTGGGGAAGAATTGAAGTTAAGGCCTGGGAGCCAGTAGAACGTGGGTTCAGAAACTCATTGCCATACTGAAAAGTTGGCATATATAGTATTGCTCTTACATTATTGTGACAGTTGTGATTAAATTGCTCAGAAGTGTGGAATTATGTATAAATTGTGCAAGTGTTCTGAAAATACTGACAATTTACTTGGAGCAGTGTACAGTCTTGTGTTTATGCAGTTCAAAGTTTTATTTACTGATTAAATTCCAAACTAGTTATTGTTTGAACCAAATAGCTAGATAGAAACAAGAAAGATTTTGAAACTTTAATAAGTTCCTCTTGTTTGCTTGCTATACAAATGGACTGTATTTTGTTATATGTTTTATATGGTTTTGCCTGATGCACCATACATATACTGTACTTTGTCTTGTGTGCTATCAAGTCGCATCCAACTTCCAATGGCCTTAATAGGGTTTTCATGATCAGTGAAATGTTTAAGGAGTGGTTTTATCAGTGCCACCCCCCAGTGAGCTTCCATGGCTGAGCAGCTATTCAAACCCACTTTCCTGAGGCCTAGTCCATCACTTTCTCTGCTATACCACACTGCTCTTACATGCATAGTATCAAAAATGTGTTGAATCGCCTTTATTAGCACAGTTCAGGTTACAGTTTATTTTCACTAACAGCTTTCAGTACTGGTGCAGTTAAACCACAGCATTTATGGATTCAGTTCATATCCTAACTGAAAACTGAAATGGCTGGGTATTAAAAGTTGAAGTGTGGAAATCTTTAATGGGAATGCTCATGTGTGCTTGATTTATTCTTTTAAACAGATGGACAGTGGTGGGAGGTGTAATTCTTTCAGCACATAAACCATTAGCTGGTGTTACTGCTTGTGTGGGTGGTGCAAGTCGTATATCAGCATACCATAATAGTGTACTTCTTTCAGAGCTAGACATCCTTCCCCTGATTAACATTATTTTTTTTAAAAAAAGAATCTGCATCTACATTTGTGAATATGTCATTTTAAAACAACAACTGTGGTCTGTCCCATGAATAAGACTGGAAATAATTGTGTATCCTTTTCAAACTTTTCATTGTTCTGTAAATTTAGGATTGTTGTGGGTTTTTGTGACTTATTTTCCCAATCTAATTTTGTTTACCTTGAAGATACAGTGTTTAATAATATTAAGGTACACAAAAGTAGAACAAGCAGCATTATGATTTTGAGAGGTTTATATTTATGCTTGTACAGTATTTTGTATTTTATGTACAGTATTTTTCTGAAGCTTTATAAAAAAGAATCTTAACTGATACTTGTGTGTGAATGTGTGCGCGCATTCACCCAATTGTATTTATGCTGCTTCCAGTTCACTTTTCTCCCCAGAGGCACCTGTCGTCTGCCACATACCCATCAAGAATAATTGCACCATCTGGAATACTTTTATGTACCTGTGACTGGGGTTGAATATCTCTAGGGAGCAAGGTTCAGGCAGAATATGAATGTGACCCCTGGAGCCATGTCAAGTGACTGCTGTACCTTCTACTTACTAAAGGATGGACACCTTAGGCTTTATTTGTTTCAAGTCTTATGCAATTCACTGTAAGATTGAGTAGATGTTACCAGTGTTATTTTGTTTACTACTTTGGGTGGAAAAGTACTTCAGCTCTTCCTTACCTAATAACTTCAACAAACTTACCATATATAACTATGGGCAACTTAATGATACAACTCATATAAATGCATGCTTTATTGCCAATTTCTTTGTGTCTATATTTTTACTCTTGCTCATCTCTAGAGTAGCTTAATTAGCAGCTGTTTTTATCATTGAGTTGGAGAATTTTACAAATTGTTCTTTCTTTGTCGCCCCTTCCTTGGCACTCTGTTTTTATCTAATCTCTGTTAATAGACATCTCGTTTGCATTTTTGTTCAGCCAAAATGAATATGATTGAGGTGATTGAATTTACTTTCCAACTTTATAATGCTGAGCCTCTAGTTTAACTATTGATTCCATCTCAATTAGTTACATAATTTAAATTGTGTGCTGTCAAATCAGTGCTGGCTTACGGTGACCCTATTCAGTGTTTTCTAGATAGTGAATACTTAGAAGCAGTTTACCATTCCCTTCTTTGAGTGACATCGTGGGATGGTGCAGCTTTCCCAAGGCCACACAGACTGGCTGTTTTAGGATTGACAATTGGGAGTTGAACTCTGATCCGCTGGTTCTGCAGCCTGATACCTGACTCACTGAGCTATCCAATGAGCAATGAGTCATATACTTCACATATTCTGCTTAGCTACTTAATCATAAACAGAAGTGCATTTATTTTGTGGCAGAAGTGCATTTATTTTGTTTGCATGTATATAATCCTTTTCTATATGTATTGGACCTTCCCCTTAACTTAATTTCTCCTGCAGAAGAGTTAATAAGGTACAAACATGTCAAGTGTTAATGTTATAGTTGTGAGAGAGATTTTGAAACTCAGCATAGGCTAAGTGCTAAAACTCAAACTCAATGTGAACCTTTTTAATAAGAAGAACCATACATTACAATGATGGATTGATTTTCTAAAACTACATCATGTAAAATGTTTTCTGCTACTGATCAATGCAGAAATGTTAATTTGCTGCATATGACACCTTCCTAATTTTTGAAATATTTATTCTCTATTTTGTTATATTATGGTAATGTTATAATGAACCCAGTGTTGGCTGTTGTTGGAAAACAACTGGCTGATAGTTGAAGAACTAGGAAGGAAAGAATGCTGTTTGGATGCCTTGGAACCTAGATATTTGTTGATGATATGTTAGCTCTAATGAATTTTGAAGAAGCTGGTGCCCAGAAAATCCTGATGTATTTGTCCATAGGGGGAATATCAAGCCAATAGGACCAAATTAAATATTTGCCTGGTGTGCTTTGCCCCACACGTTTGAACATGCAAGGATGAGAAAGTAAATGTAGTCCAAAAATATTTTTAGCACACAACTTCCAGAATTGTCCAGGAATTCCCCACACAGAATTACAGTGGGGTCTTGACTTAAGAACGGCTTGAGTTAAGAACATTTTGACTTAAGAACCACTCTGATAGGAAAATACTGACTTGACTTACATAGTTAGATTTGAGTTAAGAACTGAAAAAAACCACGTGGGAGGCAGGGAAAGTGCAAAATTTGAACTTTCAGTTAACTGTTGGCCAGTGAAAAGGGTGCCTGTCTACTTCCTCACTCCTCCCAGCGTTTAGAGAGTGGATTGGGAGGCTTCAGACTGCCTGGTACTGCCTGGACTGTATTTTCCCTGCCTTCCCTGAACCTTTCTTGACCTAAGAAAAAAAGAAACAAAATATCCCCCTTTAGTGGTCGAAGGCGGAATAGCAGCTTCCCATTAGTTTCTATGGACGGAAAAGAGCAGATACGGATCAAATGGTTTTCAATGCATTCCTATGGGAAATGCAGATTTGACCTGAGAACTTTTTAACTTGAGAACCGCCTTCCAATACGGATTAAGTTCTCAAGTCAAGACCCCACTGTATGGGAATTTATGGCACCTCACATATGCCTATAGACACCTACATTTCACTCTTCTGGCATGGGCCCTATCTTCCAGCCTGTCTTGAGACTATTTGCTGTATAAAAAGAAAATGGCTGTTTTACGTCCCTGGGGGTGGGCTACATTTTTGTGTGCGGTGTAGTCTTGCTGCCCATTGGGCTCTGTTTCAGCATGCAGTGTTCTGCCAGATATCACACAACCTTCTGCAAGCAGTCAATTCAAGCATTGGCAAGACTGATCCACTCCTTCCCTAGTAGTCTGCTAGGTGAGGAAGAGAGAACACTGGATGGCACTAAAATTGTAGTAGGAAGCTGGAGAGAGTGGCAGAAAGAGAGAAAATGGATTGGCTCAGATATGTTTTACTCTTTCCTTGTCCACCACCAGCTTCAGTTTTACTTGCTACCTACATTTAGCCCCTGTGCAATTTTCCCAAGAAAAGGTAAACCACTCCTGAACTGAACCATGCTTTAGCTGGGCAGAAGCAAGCCAGAATAATCTCATTCTCAATTACTTAATGGTCCTCTATGTTGGGTGTATTATTAAAAAATAATAATTTGAAGGAGCCCAAAATACTGTTTTGATTTCTTCTTCTTTTTTTAACAGAGGCTTTGTATCTGATAGCAGGAAAGACCTGCAGATGAGAGGTCTGGTGGTTCTGCTGATCTCTAAGGCAGCAGGGCCCAGCCTTACAACAAAGAGCTCCTTCCAGAATGACATGGTCAGTGGAATATATCCCAGGTAAGGATTTTGTTAATGAAGCATTAAAATACTAGATCTACATAGAGAGTATATGACTGTGACTAACATTCAGAATCAGTTTGTTTCCATTTTTGAATGATGTGTTCTTTAAATTCATATAGTATATTTTGTATATGATAATTCTTTGTGATTCTCATCCATGCTCACAAAAATTCTGCTGGCAATGAATTTATTTTAAATTGTCTTTTTACTCTACTCTTCAGCTAGAAGTGTTGCAAAGATAATAAGGCAGTCCATGTCCTCAGGCTTACACGCTGAAAGACAGGGCACAAAGGCAAAATATCTTGAGAGCGAGAAAAGCTAACTCAGACAATAGCTTTTAGTTACAAGATACAGAGAAGATGGACCTTCTGTTGCGTACTGTTCATGATTAGAAAACAGGCCTTGACAGGCTTCAAGCCTTCTTCCCTGATCATTGGTTTGTCCCAAGGTATTTAGTGTCAAAGGACTCTGTTAGGAGTTCTTGGAGACAGGGAAGATGGTAGTTCAACTTGCTAGGTCCTAATGCAAGCATTTTACAGTAAGACAGCAATGCTGAAAAAATATGTCTCCCATAAGTAAAACCATAGTAGAATTTTTTATTCTTTTGCATCAATAATTTACGTATATCAAAATAGACACATCCAGTTACAAGCTGATTAGGCAACTATGCACATAACAGTTTTCCATTATTTGACCTGACAGTGATAAATACATTTCTAATGCACTTTCTGTATTGTGGTATAGTATGCGAGCATCTCTTGCCTAGAAAAGAGAAGCTTGGCTCCAAACCCAGCTCTGATAGGTGAAAGTTGCTAAAAGTGAAAAACTACTGGAATATATTCTGTTTTAACTGGGAGCTTTCAGAGACAAAGAAGACCAGTGAACTGGCTTCGATCTTGAAATACGTTTTTCTTTCTTCCTTTTAAAATGTAAATGTTGTGGGCCACCATCTTATATTTAACTGACAAAGAGTTCAAACTGCATACCTCTTGACAATCAAGTATATCTGATCTTTGTCAAATGCTTCTGAGGATGTGCTCTTGCAAAGCAGTCACCTGGTCCAGATTTGTTGTTGTTTAGTCGTTAAATCATGTCTGACTCTTCATGACCCCATGGGCCAGAGCATGCCAGGCCCTCCTGTCTTCCGCTGCCTCCTGGAGTTTGGTTAAATTCATGTTGGTAGCTTCCATGACACTGTCAAACCATCTTGTCCTCTGTTGTCCCCTTCTCCTCTTGCCTTCACACTTTCCCAGCATCAGGGTCTTTTCCAGGGAGATTTCTCTTCTCATGAGATGCCTCAGCTTCGGGATTTTTCTTTTCAGTGAGCACTCAGGGTTGATTTCATTTAGAATGGATAGGTTTGTTCTCTTTGAAATCCAGGGGACTCTCAAGAGTCTCCCCCAGCACCACAATTCAAAAGCATTAATTCTCTTTGTTAGAATCCACAGAAACTAGGCGGCAGGAAGTAGGCTAATGCTCTACCAGTAGACTACAGACAGAAATAAAGTAGCCATATGGCCCATCTGTAGAAACATGGTTCTGGATTATATATTACATTTACTGTAAAAAGCCATGAACAGGGCAAATCTAGAGAACTAGTGTATTTGCCCTAGATAAGTCTTCATCAACTGAAGATGGTATAAAATTTGACAATTGACATAGGGCCAGTATGTGAAACAGATTGGGGCAGATGTGATGTCTATTGTTCTTAAAAGCAGACTGCTAGCAAAGGAAGGTAGAGTTTATAACTTTGGCATGAGACAAAGGTGTCATGGTATCTTCAGTCTTCCTTTGTAGACAAAAACTTGAACCCCTATAGATCTGTAAATTGCTTTGGGTCAGCAGCATTGGCTCATTTATTATTTTGTAGCTAAAAAAAGCCACAAGATAGCAATATTGATGTCAACAAAATAGTTCAAATTTAGATATTGGGTTACCCTTTTTGCATGCACATGCATGCATACACAGAAAATGGTGTGATCTGGTATAACACAAAAAAACCTGATTGCATCTTAGAAGTTTGTCATTGTGTGTCCATTATGATGCACCCGATGGAGAGAAGAAATAACATACAGTTTTACAGTACATATTAATATGCTAGTGACTCAGTACAATTATAATGATGAGAAACTTTTTGTATTCTCGCTTATTTGTCTTAGATGCCATGAAAGGGGAAAGCCATTGATTTAAATGTTTTTAAAGACAATAAATATTCTTGTCTAGAGAAGTAAATAAAAGGCTACACCCAATAGGAAATTATAGTTTCATTCTTGTCTAATGTTTTTAAAAGTACAACTAAGATGTGCATTTTGGTTCTCTTTAACTGTAGTCTTAGAACTCATTTGTAGCTCCCTTGCATCTTGATTTCAGTACAGAGCTTCACACAGCTTCTGATTCAGTTATATATGTTTGTGGCAGCACTCTGGAAAGCAATGTAGCTGCCTAACTGTATGTGTAGCCTTTGATTGTCAGTAGTTCAAGTCATTTGTTTGGGAAAGTGGAATAGAAAGAGATTGAAGTCCCTTTATTCCATTCCACAAAAGTGATGGACATGATTTCAGTGGTATGACCTACATGCCTTGGCTGCTGTATCAGGGTTTGTAATGTCAGAAGCTACAAGCAAGGTATTATTCTATTTACTGTATTTATTTAAAATATTTTTACCCCACCTTTCTTCTGTGGGAGGGATTTCCAAAGTTTGTAAGCAGCAACAGAGAAGACCTTATCCTGTGTACCCACCAAACACAACTGTGAAGGTGGTGGCACTGAGAGAAAGGCCTCTCCTGATGATCTTTACTGTTGAGCAGGTTCAATAAGCCAAATACAGTCCTTGAGATAGCTTCAGCCTAAACTATTTAGGACTTTATAGGTTAGAAGCAGCACTTTAAGTTGTGCCCAGAAATGGATTGGCAGCTTGGAAGTTAAATTCAGCTCAAAGAGCAATCCTTTCTTCCATTGCATTTTGTTTTTCCTACTGTAGTTACAAATCTTTTTTTGTCTTCTATCAAAAGAACAGTTATGGTTGCCATTGTAGTAAAGTTTTACTCCAGTGTGTGACAGGGAGTGGTGAAGAGGAAGGCTTTGCTACTAGTAATCCAAAGTGGGGAGGAATTACAAATGTTTTGGTGGTGATAGTACTCGTACATCAGCAGGAGGCCTTGTCTGATCCCTAAAATGAAGGAAACAGCTCTACTTAAACATTTGTTCTTAAGATAACCACATACTACTCCTTTTAAAAATCCAGTAATGGAGCTTTACTCACAAGTACCCAAGAAGGCATCATGGCATGAACCCTTCCTGATTATTTTCTGTCGCACATTTTTTTAAAGGTTTTGGAAATCTCACACAGACCATCTGGTTTGGGAGCTTTAGCAGAAGCAGTGTACAGATGTTTGACTGTTCATAGGTAGTATGATGTTGGCCAATTTTCTAGACCCCTGAACTATCATTTAATTACCATTTGTCACTAATAATGTATGTGTAAACTTCATGGCTAATGCAAATGCAGCAGTTTCCTATAAGTCGGGTAGGAGTCTTGTGCAGTTTCCTGCAAATCACAAGGAGCAGACTTGCGCTACTTTTCACTGACTATTCTTTTGATGACTAGCAGCAACAAGATTAAATTTTGAATAAAATTCAGTGTGAGAGGAGATCTTTAATTTTCTCTACCCAAACTGTCTTTCTATGGGCACTTTTCCATTTAAAAAAACCCTGAGAGTTTCATGCAGCAGTTGATGATCTGCATTTTGGCTGTATTTATCTTTTGTGTGCGGAAGATCTAGTTTTCTGTTCCTGGTGTCTTCAAGTAAACTGCTCTTTGTCAAGTAGGGCTGAGATATTGGAGAACTGCTGCCAGTGAAGCAGACAGTTCTACATGGACTGACTCTGTGTTCTTGTGTATATGTGCATGTGTTTGCATATGCATATATGTTTTTATATGCATATATCTTCATATTTTTGTGGAGGAGTAAAGTGAACTTTTCTCCATATTGTATAAAGTACAGTGTAGGTGTTCTTTATGGTTTTTAGTACAATTTTTTTCATGAAAGAACCTCCTGTGCGAAGGAGTTCCAAAGTTTGTACCTTTTGACTTCAGGATCATTGCATGCAGTGGTAGAAAATGGTCCTCCAGACATTTTTGGACTGCAAACTTCATTAGGCCTAACAAGCATTGCCCAGTGGTAATGGATGGTGGGACTTTCAGCCCAACAAAAGCAAAGCAAAAAAGCTAAGTGGGCTGCTTATATACCGCCCCACAGCACTTCAAGCTCTCTCTGGGCGGTTTACAAGTTAATTATGCAGGCTACACATTGCCACCCCCAGCAAGCTGGGTACTCATTTTACCGACCTCGGAAGGATAGAAGGCTGAGTCAACCTTGAGCCGGCTACCTGGGATTGAACCCCAGGTCATGAGTACAGTTTGGCTGCAGTACAGCGGTTTAACCACTGCGCCACGAGGAACAACTTCTAGAAGGCAACACATTTGACATTCCTGATCTAATGTAACAACAACAACAACAATAATAAATGTGCCATCAAGTCAATTCTGATTTATGGTGACCGTTTTCAGGGTTTTCCAGGTAGAGAATACTCAGAAGTGGTTTACTATCCCCTTCTTCTGGGGGTGCCCAGGGACGGTGGAGCTTGCCCAAGCCCATACAGGCTGACTCTGCTCACGGGAAACACAGTGAGGAATTGAACTCCCAACTTCTGTCTCCACAGCCAGATACCTAAACCACTGAACTACCCAGCCAGCTAGCCTTAGACATTTGTTAACAGTACTTTATGAGTTTTTATTTGCTTTTTATATTCCTGCATTTCTAAGACAATTCTAAATGGCGTAATTTATTTATTTATTTAGACTAAACGACTAAACAACAACAACAACAAAACCCACCCATCTAGAACATGTCTACTCTGGGCAGTTTACACAAAAAATAAACTATGAGAATATAAATGTATTACAACCCAAATTAACAACAGAATCCAAGATGGAA